TTTGGTTGCTGGAAGCCTATACAACAAGCAACCAAGTAACTTGGTCGCTGAAGGATGTCAAAAAACGTGGGAAAAATGAGCGACAGTATTGGCGTCGAGTGTTCCAACGACCAAACAACTTGGTTGCTGGAACTTCATACCAGCAACCAAATATTAGTCGCTGGAAGCCTATACAACCAGCAACCAAAAAAGGTGGTCGCTAAAGGATGCCAAAAAATGTGGGGAAAATGGGCGGAAGTATTGGCGTCGAGTGTTCCAGCGGCCAAACGATCTTGGTCGCTATAACTTCTTACCAGCGACCATAATTTGGTCGCTTAAAGCCTCCACAACCAGCAACCAAGGAAATTGGACGCTGAAGGATTCAGAAAAAGGTGGGAAAAATGGACGACAGTATTTGGCGCCAAGTGTTCTAGCGACCAAGCGGTATTGGTCCCTGGAACTTCATATCAACGACTAGATATTGGTCGTTGAACATTCGACGACCAAATATTCAGCAGCCCATGTTAAGTGGTTGCTAAAAATCGTTATTAGGGACCACTCTTTGGTTGCAAAAAACTAACCTTTTTACCAACCATTTTGTGGTCGGTGAATTCTTTAGTGATTTACAAGTTAGGTGGTTAGAGTAAACTAAGGTTTATCAATGCCTAGACTAATTGAAAGTTAACTTTTATAGTGAATTTTATTGGCAAGTTTGCCCGAAGGTTTTTTTATCGAGTTAGGAATTTTTCTCCGTAATCATATATGGTGTTATTTACTTTTTGTTGCTTTTGATCTGAATGTTTGTGATTGTTTAAATATAGGAATTAAAATAATTAATTACCTTAATTATCTAGAAAAAATTAGTAAGTGATTTGTTCCTTTTAATTAGTTTAATTTTGTATTTGGGTCTAAACTATTTAGTAAATTTAAACTTTCACCACTTAAAAGTGATTAATTTGGATACAATACTACACGTTTCAGTGTATCTATTTTTTTTCTTAGGTAAAAATCATGATATGATTTAGAGATGAATTGAGCAAAATTAAAAAGAAGAGGTTTGGAGCTTAACTAGATAAAAAAAAAAAAATTAAAAATGGTGGAGTTGCATAGCTACCAGGAAGCTAGGGAATTGATTGGAAGCTTTGGAGAGTTGATTGGGTGAATTTACAAGTATTGGGGATTGAATTTAACATTTGGATAGATTAATGACCAAAATAGATGAAATAAGAACCATGTGGCTCAATTTGAACATTTTTAGAACTTGAACGATCAAATTTGAATAAACCAAAAGTTGAAGGAACAAATTGGCAAAGAACTATATTTCAGGGAGTTAATGTGCAATAGTTTAAGAACTTCGGGCCCATGGTCCCGAGCTTGTGCTCCACGATCATAACTGAGGTTATTTGGTAGAATAATTCTTCTCAAACAGGGCCACGTAGGTTCTATTTTTCCGGGGGCACTTGTCCCTCCCTGTTTTTCTAGCAGGCCTCTATTTGGAATGAGTGTCACATCTAGGTAGCATGTAGGGTCGGTAATTCGGGTTGTTCTTATTCAATTGGAAATCTTGCTTTTTCATTTTAAAACGAGGACAATTTTAGTACTTTGAAGGCACGATTTTCAAGGTTTATATAAGACTATAAAAAGATCCAATCTAAGTCAATAAAACGCACCATATCTTGTAAAAGCTTAAAGCGATATAATGAGGTTCTCGTCATCTCTCAAGTTTTCTCAAAGGTAAAGAAAATGTAATTCCAATATGCCTTGAAGAGATTTATATTTAAAGGTTGAGGTTAATTGGTGCAAAAATTTCCACCTATTAGACGAGGTATACAAAACCCCCCACTTATTGAAATTGGCGGAAAATGTCCTTGTTTGAACTCGAAGTTTGTTTTACCACCATGCCGTCCAATTTTTTCAATAAAAAGCTGTGAAATGACAAATATACTTTCCTACTTAAATAAAAATAAAAGATAAAAAAATAAAATGTAATTCAACTATAGTCTCAAAATTTTCAAAAAAGTACAAATGAGCCATGAATAAATAATTAAAAAAATCTAAACTAAGAAAAAAGTCACATCCTCTTCCTTCTTTCTCTCCAATCACCACCACCGTCAGAAAAAAATCACATCATGTTCCTTCTTTCTCTCCAATCAGCACCACCGTCGTTACTATCACCACCACCACAAAAATATGATCCTTGTTCTTTAGGCCTATAAATGAAGCTAGAACAATAAAAGGATGGCACCTGACAATGGAACGCACATTGACGACTATCGGAGCCGAAGAGAAATCGAACACAAATCGATCTAGGGGGAAATCATATGGTGCTAGTGGCAGCACATAGAACTTTTTCCCTTTTTTCTAGCTCAAAAAATTAATCTTGCATCCTCAGCCTTGTGGACACTAAATTTCTCATAAGCTATAATGAAGAGTTTTCCCCTATTTTATCGATTCGTACAATTGATAACTCTTTGCTTAACCTGTAGTAAAAATTGTGCTTGCCTCTAACCAAATTGACTATGG